AAGAGTCTCATGGACTTTCCTGCCCAGGCTGGCTTTGAACCGCAATCCTCAGATCTCAGCCTCCTGAGTAGCGAGGGTTACAGGCGTGAGCCATGGGTGCCCAGCTGTTTTATTTTTCTTCATCAGAGATCCTCTCAGTGAAAAAGCTAGAACTGGAACTCAAACATTTTTAAATGAAAATTTATATCCATTCTACTTTTACTAATGAATAAATGTCTTAAGCATTAACATTGTAATTGATTAATCTTACTTAATCATTCCCAATGTCAGATTTTTATATGACGGTAACTGAAAATGGATACTTTTTAAACTTTTATACTTGTATCTAAATTGGAATCACTGATTTTATGATGATTTCTAGATGATTGAAGTTTCTTATATAAATTTTGATGACCCTGGGAAGCTATGTAAAGTAATAGCTCAAAGAAAGTTTGGGCCCAAGGCATCTGTTAGTTCCTAAAATATCCTAAAATATCTTTATCTGAAGAAACTATAAATTAAGGCTCATAAGCATTTCCTTTGTGGATTAAAAATAATTCATGTTGTGACATAACCAGTGTAAAGTTACAGGGTGTCATTTCTATATTCCCATTTCTATATTTCCAGATAAAGATATGCAGTAAAATGATGATTTTTGTGTAGAGGTAGAACCTTTAATATGAGAGGTATTATGTTAGTTGCAAAATACTTACACATAGAAAGTGTTCAAGTTTGTATTTTATGGCGGTATGTTTGATCTTGAAGGGTACATTGAAGGCAGTTTCAGGCTACATGGATTCTAAACAAGAGAATGAGGATGCGAAACTATAACCATTCAACAAAGCATAAACATAACTGGATATAAACAAGTTTTAGGAGCCCAAGGACCATTAAAAACAAACAGCTTTAACAGGAATGAATGAATTCTAAATTTGTTGGGAAAAATCTATACCTGGGTCAGTGAGAATATTTAATTTAATCCTACAAATAAGTACAATTTTGTTTATGGAGGATGAAACTGGCATTACAAAAAAGCAATTTCCATTAACAATTAAAGGATCATCATATCAAACTTTCAAAAACAGTTTGTGGGGATTTTTCTCTTTTAACCAATGAAAGGAGTCAAGATTTTATTTTCAGTTTTTATAACACACATAGATAATGAGGAAATTATTGCCAAACAGTATTAGAAAGACATAGTTTCAGCCAAATACCTTGCAACAATACTCATAATTGTCTATGTGCTAATGCAAATATCTCAACTTTTCCATATAGATAAAACATAAAGTATATACCAACTGCCTATGCATGAGAAGTAGATTATCACCTCCAAATTATCAATGTTTCCAAACAAGTTTATTTCATTCTTCTTCTGTGTGGGACATGGATATAAGTACATTTCATTTTCAGACTATGGTCTCACATTTTAAGTCATGTGGTTAAACTTGGAGAACTGCTGTAACTTCATTATTAGAAAGTAACTAGGTTGTGTCTATTTAAACCTACCTATTCCACAAGCATTTTCTAGGAAAGAGCAAGTGATCCAAAGAGCATTTCAGTAAAAGCACTGATGATGGCTAATTTACTAAATGGAGAACACTTGCTTGTCAGATGATCAATGAAGTCGCTTGATCTTTAATCTCTTTTCACATGAACATGAAGTCAGTGCCACATGTTCCATAGCATGTGATACCATGTGGGTAATGACATGAGCACAGAATTAGAAACTTGTTTTAGTATCTGCACAAACTTATAAGAGACCTGAGAGTCACATTTTACTCATCTCTAAATTGGTCAGACACATTCAAGTCTGATATGCATCCTCAGGAACGTGTTATAAAGTATCAGAGCCTAAGTTAGAAATGTATGAATTAAAATGTAGGACAAATGAAATGACATTTCCTGCTTCTCCTGGACTCATTTCAGTCACTAATCTGTTTGCGTTTTGTTTCTTTGATTCTAGGGACAGATTCTGGATCAAGAGCAATAGAAACAAACAAAGTAAAGAGCTTTTGGAAACTACTGAGGTCTAAGGAGTGTAAGAGTACTTACCGAGTTGACAATCTGGCCATATTTTTACATAATTTTGCCAATTCTGATCTCTTTTATAGCCTACATCTTTGGTTTGATGAATATTCACAAACTTACTTATTAAAGAAACGAATTGCAAAGGAACTCTTTCAATGAAAAAATACTATAACATGGACTTGAAAATGGACTTGATAAATAGGAATATAAACTTAATACCATTTCCTAAATCACACAATATAAAAGGTTCTGAAGTTATACAAGCCTTGCCTAAATTATTTAAAGCCTGATATATCCTGAATTATTGTTAAAGAACCTTGGCCAAATGTACCTAAACTATTTTAAATGTTATTTCTTTATAATCTTAATAGGAATACTAGGAATACACTTTTCTAATTATAGAATAACACGAGATTACAATGAGATTCTACATACATATGTATATATACCTACATGTATATATGGCACACAATTCATAATATGGATTATATGACCTTCCTAATATGGAAAACAATGGATTCTAAAATCTACATGGTCTAGAAATTGTAGCTACAGAATAGCTACATTATTGCCAAGCTTGCTGAGTTGTCTGAGAATGTGGTAAGGTTAGAGTTTTGAAGGCATTTGCCCCAGGTACATTTTATAGGGAAAATTTCTCTTTACTCCTTTGTATAAACTTTCATTTCAACTCATCTTTGAATCAACATTTTATAATGATAAATTTTCACACTGAAAGGAACTTGGTGGATATCTAGAGTGAGCCACAGCTTGAAATGACCCAGAACTGAAAGGACTTTTATATCCTTAATTAGGATGTGTTGAAGCCTAAAGGATCCTGTCTGCTTTCTCCCATTCACCCCTCCATTGAAGAGAACACACATATGCTTTACATGATATGTAATATTTATTACGATTTACACACAATTTTAGAGTACATGAAATGACTTTGAAAACAAATAACTAACTTTGAGAGACTTCTATGTGAAAATCAGTTTTCAAATATATATATATATATATAATATATATTCAAATAAATATATATTGTTCATGTCATCTTCACAAAAACTGAAATAGTTATTATTTCATTATGTAGAAACTCAGTATTTCAATAGTTGTGCTAGGATAACAATAAAAATCAGGCATTGCCTTTCAAAGACCATGATGTGAAATGATCCTACTTTAGCCAATAAAAAACAAAAATGGTAATGTGCTAAACTATGAGGAACAGGAAAAAAAAACAGAAAAAAACGTCTTGAGAATTCACTCTTAATCAAATCCTTGAATCTCTTCAATAGATTCTACTCAATGCACAGTCATAGTCTTTATGTTCTTAAAGATACAAAACAGTCATGTACCTCCTCTTTGAAATATGAATTTGGGTTACATTTATGTGAGAACAATAAATAGGTGGATACACCTATACCTAAGAAATATGCAAAATACTGCAAGTTTATCATTCTCTTTCTTAGTCTTTGATATCATGTACAGGCTGGAAATTGTGTCTGCTGAATCATGACATCATGATACATGCACATTCAATTACTCCACTGACACCAGCTTTAGCCACCGTGGTTGAAGTGGAAACACTGTGGTCACAGGGCTATGACCTGCTCAGTATCATTCATGGTGGACACATGCGGGTTTAAGAATTGTCACTGGGTCTGGCGGAACTGATGACACTGTTCAGGCTCAGGCTCCAGTCCCTTGGGCTGGAGACCCTCAGCAGAGATGCAGAGATGATGATCCTGGAACTCAATTTGGGATGGTCCAGGAGGCAGAAGAGCAGCAGTGAGCAGGAATGGCCGCTGTAAAGTTCTCCATGAAGTCACACAGGGCGGACAGCATATTCAAAAATACTGGAAGGAGAATGAATAGTCAAAACCTGAAGTCGTCCACGGTCACCCACGGGTTGAAGTTCCTCATGGGTCATGGGCAGGCCTAGGAGTATCAGCTGTACAATGATAGACTTTCCAGGCTAAAACTGGCAAGGTAGCCAACAGCGAGTTTAGTGATTTCAAATGTATTTCTGAATTACTAAGCTTAGAATGTGAAGCATGCCGATATCATTTCTTCAACTTACAAGTTTGCTTTCTGTATCTTCTTACCGAAGTGCTATAAACCATTTGGATTATTTTCACAACATGAAGGGGGAAAAGTGACTTCGTGACAGTGACAAAATTAAAGACATCTGTAAAGGAAAAAAAATGCCCTGGTTAGGCAGCTGTATGAATTCATCCCATCTTTAGAAATCAGAGTTATCATGCAGCACAATGTATATTCAGCTCTGCTTCCTGGGATTTGTTGATGCAAGACACTAATTGCAAGTTTCAAGTTATACAATATGATTGCGTAATGCTTTTACAATGATTACCATGATTAAATTAATTAACATCTATCACCAATTATGCTGGGTTATTGATTCCCCAGAACCTGTTCAACTTACAGTGTACCCTAAAACATAACCCTCCTATTTTCCCAGTCCCTCAGCACCTGATAAATACTAGTCCAGTCTAGGAGTTCACTTATTTAAGATTGCAAATCTATATTACATCACACAGTATTTCCCTCTCTGTCCCAAATCTTTCATATAAAATAAAGTTCTCCATCATTTTTTATGTGGTCACAGTGGCTGCTTTCCTTCACCTTCTACATGAAAAATATTTCATGATAGATATTATAGTCTTTACCCATTTATGTGGCCAGGTATATTTAAAAAGGTTCAATACAGTGACATTCATCACTGACATAATCATTAGAGAAATTCTAATGAAAATCAAAATAATAAATGACCTCATACTTCTTAGGGTAGATATTAGCCAAAAAATACAAGCGATGGTGGGTGTTTGACAATAGAGAGAAATCCTTGAATACTATTTACGGAATGAAAAGGAATAGAGACACTATGAAGGATAAGATACAGATTCTCCACTTTAAGTAAAAAATCCAAATTAAGTGAAATCCACGTGTGTGGAGCGCTACTTGCACTCCTTCAAGCATTGCCATATTGCTTGCAATAGGAAAGTAACAGAAGCAACTGCGCATGGATCCTCACAAAACAGCTTTGTTATTTCCTCTTAAAATTGTGTGTGGGATGGCAAGCACATATAGGTTCATGTATGACCAAAATTATATGAAAGCAGATACAAATAATATTCACTCTGATAGGACATCTAAAAATGAAACAAATGTCTCCCCTAATATCTGATTGTAATGATAGCTGCATTATGATATGATGCATTATGATAGCTGCATAATGCACTAGTTCAAAGGAATAATCTTTGAAAATCTACTTTAGAACTGGAAGGGATTGTCAGTTTCATCACTGCTGAGCTAAGAAAATTCTTAACAGCCTGGCTGAGCAATGTCTGTAACCTAAGTCTCCAAAGAGAAATTTTTCTGAAGACCATATTCTCAGGTTCTGGAGTAACTAAGAATGCAGACACCAACCACTGATGCCAAGCTGTGTTTAATAACATTTTCCTTATTATTGCTTAATATTGTTCTCTTTGGAATATGATTCCATGTCTTTAGTTCCTATCTTTCTATATGCTCCTAAATCTACTCTAATCACCCAGCTAACCCCCCTGTCCCATGTCAAATCGTGGCAAAAATAGTTGCCCATGTTGCTTCCTCCCATTTTTTCGACCTACCATCAGGAGCACTTGCA